AATTACACATGAAATTGCTCATACTAAACAAAGTTCCAAAGCGAACAAAAGGAATTCAGTCCGAGTCCTAAGCTGCAGTTCAGACAGCCGAGTCGAATACATATTCCAGTATCATTAGAAGCGCACTTGACTACATTAATGATGAGGCAGTTGATGGCCAAGACATGAGCCCTATAAGCAAACTCATCTCAGCGATTTTTAGCATTTTTAGTTAATTTACACGAATGGCAGGAAAAACATTTGGAATTCCTTGCAGCGACTGGCGCAAGTCTCTGGCTAAAAATCTTGCATTCGATCGTTTATGGCATTTTATTTGGCGCGTCAGCAAATGTTTGTAAGCAATTTATTTATGACATTTTTTTGCAACCGTTTAGAAGCTGCGGCTACGGCTGCGGCTGCTGTTGCAGCTGCTGCTACTGTTGCATTTGCCACTGTTGTTTAAATGCTGAGCGACACATTTGCCGACTTGGAATCGTGCGGCAATCTGTGGCACAAAAAAACTGGCCGCATGACGCGTCCAAAAACGCAATGAGGCACAAACTTGTAATAGCTAACAGCAACAACATTGTGGCTAAGCAGCGAGTGCAGTAGAAATGCAATAGCAACATGGACATGAGCATTGAGTTAAAGTCAGAGTCAAGTTCCATATTCATTAGTTGCAATACAAACAACAACAACAACAACAACTCGTACACACATTATGCTCAGCGTCTAAATGTTGCTGACGTTTTGTGCTAATGACTGGTGCAAGGTGTCGTGGCCAAGTGCCAGGACAAAGGCCCCTAAATGAGTTGGGCATCGCAAATTGCAGCGTAATAACAATTTTCATTACAAATATTTAGTTAAATTGCACAATTTGGAGCTCAAATTAAACAATAGCCTGCCATTTTGAATACCAATTAGTGGAGTTCAGAACTGGAACCGGAAAGGCCAGCAGCTGCCCATCAAAAAAAAAATAGTGTATATATATAGAAAACTAAACTGTTCGGCAAATTGATAGCAAGGCCAAAAACAGGAAAATCTAAAGCAAACGAAAAATCAGCGTGCCACAAGAATAGTTAACAAGTGAAAGAAAAACCAGATTTTAGCTTGGCCAAACAGCAGCCAGGGGGCCGGATATGACCAAATTGCTAGGGTTCCCGGCGGCCGGTAATTGGCAATGCAGCAGCAGCACCAGCAGCAGCAGTAGCGGCAGCAACAACAACGACAATTTTTTCTTTAACTGGGCAGAAGAAAGAAAAAAACGACTGCAAAAATAAATATGAGCTCGACAACGTCAAGGGCCTGGTGCCGGGGCCAAAGCCTGGTCTGCAGTTTTTTAGGCAAAACCAAACGCCAGCCAAGACAGATGTGCGACATTGCAATTTGTTACAGTTGCAGTTGCATTAACGGGCAACTTGTAGCTGGGCCACGGCCTGAGCCTAGGCCTCAGCCAGGGGGTAAGTCGGTTTCGGTCTCGGTCTCGGGAGTCGGAGTCTGGGCCTGGTTCTGGGCATGGGATTGGGCCTGGGAAGTCAGCAGGCAGAGCAACCTAAATATTTTAATGCCCCAGCCGCATTGATGGTTCGCTTTTTGCCCAGCGACTTTAGTAATTAACATTTTTTGCGTGCACAAATATTTTTCGACTTGAGAGAAAGAAGCCAAGAGCAACAGCAACAGCAGCGGCAGCGGCTGCGGCAGATGCACATGAATTTCACAACAGAAGCTGTTGCATGAAAACTCAAACAAATTAAACTTGAGGTAAGGCCAAGAGGAACAACAACACGGCAGCCAACTGAAAAAATAACAACAACAATCGACGCGGCCTGCAGAAAACGTAACAAAATATGTTAAAATGCAACCAAGTGAGTAAATTGTGCGCAGCAACTTGCAAAAAAAACTGAATGTTCTGTTTATGTAGCACACACACACACCCACACCCACATACTTGGGTAGAATATATACTTCATAAACTAAGCAAATTATTATTTGAAGGCACACGTCCCAGGGTTGGCTCTGGCTCTAGGCTCCGGCTTTGGCTCTGACTTTGGGTTGAGTGTTTAGCCAGAGCGAACTTGTACAAAAATTAAATTGTTTTAATTACGCGCTGCCGCAAATTGTGGGACTGTGGTAGTAGTAGAGCTCTACGTGGGGGGGAGGACTAGCTGTTTATTATGATTGTTGTTGTTGGGAAAATTGTTGCCAAATTGCGTTAGCTTTGCTTTGCCTACATTAGCCACAACATTAAGTGGTTTTAATAGGGCTGAAAAAGTTGCTTTAATAATTAGCTAGTATTTTATTATCTTTTATTTATTTTATTTATTATAAAAAGCCAATTAATTGTGTGTCTATCGAATAAAAATATGTTATAAAAAAAAATAAATATAAGCTGAATGCCCGGAGAAATTATAGCGGTATTACTATGAAATTAATAATATTATAAAATGTTAAAAATTATTTACAATAAAAATTTAACAATTTAAGTTTAATTAATTTTTAATTTAATTTCCCACTTTTTGTTCTTCTTAGAAGATAATTTTTTTATATTAAGTATCTCAAAGATTATAGCTTCTGTCCAGCCCTGGTTCGTGTTGCATCCACAAACATTTTTCATATATTTTTAATTGTAGCTACATAGAAAATTTCTGAAGTTTGGTTGGGTTCGTAGCTGTAGGCCAGGGCAGGGCGGTGGCTGTGGCTATGTAGGCAGCGGTTGCATCCGCACCCGTGCCGCCCACCACCCTTTCATCAGCAAGTGCCACGAAAATTTTTTCCACTTTACATTTTTTGCGTGTGTTCTCGTTTCGGCTGATGGGCTAAGGGCATGTGGAGGCTGGGGGCGGGGCAGCGCCCCCTGCTCGACGCAGTCAAGACAGACAATGTTACCAACTTGGCTTGCCGCTCAGCCATTGATAATTACCAGGTTGTTATATAGCACTCTCTTACCGCCATACCCTGCCGCCCCCCTCTGTCCACTAGGTTTTGCAAATTTATGTTGCTTTCGCATGCGCTTGTGGCAATCAAAGTGTGTGTGTGTGTGTGTGTGTGTGTGTGTGTGTGTGTTGTGCATAGAAGTCAAGTCAATCTTTAGACTGTTTTTACATAATTATAACAGTGCACTGGGCTGCTCCCGCCGTTGCTTTTATTGTTTTCATTTTAATTTAAATGCCTAAACAATAATTTGAGCATTATTCTGAAGGGTTATTGTTTTTGGTTAATGCATGCAATGAAAAATTCAACTGAAGTGATGTACGTAAAAGCCTCTCAACTCGCTAGCAATTACCTATGTTATGCAAATGCCAAATGGCAGCACGAAAATCTGCAGCCCCCTTTTGAAGAAGCGCCCAATTAGCTGACATCCGGCCGTGCTCTGGTGCCTGGCTATCTAGAAATTTATATGGCAAAAGCCACAATATCCGTTTGCTATTAGAAACGCCAACAATGCCAAAGACGTCGGTAATTTTTCGTCTCAACCATATTTTACGCATTTTACGCACAGCACAGATTTTGGCCGTAACGAAAAAGATAAACCGCATTGCTACAAATGGGCGCTGGTTTCCTGTTTCCTGTGCCGATAAAGGTGCGTGTGGGTCTAAATTTACGACCAACGCCAAACGAACACCTTCAATTTTCAGCGTATTGTGCGTGAAATTGCATGACGCACAAAAATTTTGCGTACAGTTGTGCTCAAGTCTTATGGCGGCCATTTTGCCCACGCGCCTATGCAATGCTTTTTGCACGTATCGATGGCTCCTCTATTTGGGTGTGATTGTGTGTGTGTGTGTGTGCTGGGTGGGGTATGTGTGTGTGTGTGTGAAAAATATCAATAAGCACAGCCCCCACCAGAGCAGCTTTGGCGCTTCTTTTGACTGTGCGCATTTTATTTATACATATTAAATAATTTACATAGGCCTTATTATATACATAGTTAAAATGCATGTAAATGCGTTAAACTCCATGCTTGACCCCGGGTTGGGCTAAAGTTGTGGGGGTCGGTACGCCAATTTACGCACAAGGATATCTTGTGGGTGTCTAACGCCAGCTACCTGCTGCCACGTAGGGGTAGCTAGTAATTTTTAGCTTCCGCACAGGCCATTTTGTTCTCCCATGCCCAAATCGAAAGTTCCACTGAACGCTGCCAGTTCAGCACCAGCCCAGACCCAGACCCAGGGCCAGGCATCGCCCATACCCATGGAGAGGTTGAAACTCCCCGTTGGGTCACCCCATGTGTGCATGCGTGAAAATTTTTCCACCACATCGATTACTTTACGCAAATTAGTGCGTAGATATTTTGCAAAAATGTTCTATAAATAATTGATGTGCCGTTCAACGTGTGCTACTCAATCCCCTTCTGACAAATGCAACGACTGAGTTTGCCTGCACTGTGTGTGCCTGTGTGTTTGAGTGTGCGTTATATAACTGATGTGACAGCCGGAACATTTACATTGCAATAGTTTGAACGGCACTTAAATTGAGTTGAACACTCAATTTAGCAATTTTCCACAATTAGCTATGACAATTGGCCAACAAACATCAGAAGCACAAATCATAAATCATCATCTGTATGTTATAAGAAAATATCTTGTGGATTAAAGGATCTTTCAAAGAAACTTTCATATACTTATATATATAGACTTCTGCCCAACTCATATCTGGCTAAAAACCGTAGCTGCTGTTGCTAATGCAATTTACTGTTATTCAAAAGTTTGTAACTCTAGGTTAAGCTTTCATAAATAGTTAAATTAAACATATTAATTACTGAAATTACATTCTTATTGAGAGGATGCGGATTCTAATATATTCCCTTGTTGGGAATATAATTTGTAATACATAAACAAAAAATAAAATTTAATTTAACTGATAAAAGAAGATATATATGTTTTCTTAACATTTCCGGTCGAAACTAAAATAATATGTGCAGAAGCATAAAAAAGAGACGAAAATGCTTTAATCTCACATATTAAAAAAAAAAAAAAAACAAATAAAGCAAATGTTTGTATTATCAAATTTATATTTCATTCATATTTATTTGCAATACCTTATTATATTAATCTTCCCGTAGAACATTTTATTAAACCAATTCAGAGTCTTGAACCTCGATTCTGATTTAATGCCCAATCATCACTCGTAACCAATTGCGGTGGGTAAGCCGTAATTGCTCAAGTTTTTGACAGCGTAGAGTAGTTTAAAAAACTCCAATACCTCTGGCCGCCTCCAAGTCGTGTTTTGAGGCGTGTGCATTTGACATTTGTCGCAAACACTGCGACTGGGAAATTGTATTTTCGGAAATTTGGGATCTTCGGTGGAATCGCCAGCTAAGCGTTGATTCACCTCATTGTGTGCCTCCCATAGCCAAAGGATTTCCTCGTCCCGGCTGGCCACTGAGAAAATTCTGCGACGCTCTGCCATACCCAGGAAATGCTGGACACAATCCTTGCAGCCAAAAAAATGACTGACGAAGCCGTGAATAGTGCCCAAAACAAAACCCGCTGGCAAAACGGGCGACCTGGCCGTCTGCACGGTGAGATAATGAAACAGCGTCCACAGCGAACAGGTGAAGCCACGCAGAAAAGGACCCGATGCAATGCAGCCCACATATCGCCTGGCCTTGAATACCTTTGGCAGCATGCTCTCCAACAATTGCACCTGCGCCTGAAAGGCAAAGCCACTAAGCTTGTCGCCGCCGAAGTCATTAACGAATTCATACAGACGTGCCAGCAATATATTTCCGCTGCGGTTTAAAGGACTAAAACGGTGCATAACATTGAGCAACTGCCTCAGAGCCAAAAGACTTTCGCCTGCAAAAACACGCACTTTAGGCAGCTCTATGTGGAGCAGCTTGTCAATTGCCTGCTCCAAATCGGCACGATATATTTTTGGTGCTCCTTGCAGAACAGTTGCAAGAATTGCCGCTTGTTCCTCATCAACGAGATATGAAGTAACATTTGGCGCAGTCGTAGTCGAATGAGGCGACACTGCTGTGTAGGCCTTGGACTGCAGATATTGCTGCACGCTGGTCACATAGGCTGTGCTGCTATCATTTTGGGGATGTAGGCTTAAGGATTTTCCCAGACAATCCATAATAATCAAGGAATCGCTGGTAGGGTTTAAGCCAAAGTTATCAAACAGCCACCGATCGCTCAGTATGCGCACAGCTACAATTGGCCAAGTCAGCAGGCCCAGAATTGTGTCTCTGCCCAATGTTGAGCCCTCTGGCTGGTGGACGAGCACAATAAACTTTGTGCTACTAGTAGTACATTCATTAAGCAGCGTTTGTTTAGTATCCGTAGCAGTCAGCGGCTCAAAATTAGGCTGGTCAAAGGCTGTGTACTTCACCTTGCCTATAAATTCGGCAAGCTGGACAAAAATATCATCTGGCACAAGTGTGTCCAACTCGAAGCCAAGTTTTTGCTCAGTTCGCTGAAAAGCGGGTGGATATAAACGCAGCGTTGGCGTTTTTCGTATGTCAAAGTCACGACAGATTTTCACATTCCGCTCCTGCGCACAGTCCACAACATAGATCGAGAGTACGCGTTGCCATCCGTACAATTTCCAGGCCAGCTGCTTAAATGTGCCTGCAAAGCGACGACAGTCGCCGCAGAAATAGTTGATGAACTGCACAAGTTTGCAGGTATGCGGACTATACAACTGCAGCTCCAACGTGTCGTTGTTCAATATTTTGACGTTGTCCTCGGCACTGTAGAGACTTGGCTCGGTCACAGTTGCCGCAACACAGTGCAGCAGCAGTAAGAGAATAAAGCGAAACATTTGCAGAAGATGCTGCCCGGCTTAGTTTTTAACTGCAACTGATGAGAGATGCCAAGTCGCATGGTTTATTAAAGCGCACGTTTTGCTTGGATTGTTTTACTAGGCGCAGACAAGAGACAAACAACTGCAGCTACAACAACAACAACACAGAATAAAAGCAGACAGCAGAAGTTACTTTTCATTTACAATAAGCTTGAGATAACTAATTGATCAGACTAATGCGTAGGAGCTGAATGGGTAGCGATTATCTTATGAGTTTTTTATTTTAAATATAACATGAATTCAATCTCCAACTGTGCTCAAGATATCGTAAAAACACAACAACTTTTCATGCACAATAAAACTCACAAATGATAAACTTGGTCAAGACATCTTGAAAGAAACAAAAGAGTTTCTTATACAACAGAGCAGACGTGTAATAAAAGAACTCAAGCTCTAAAGAAGACTGTCGGAAAGCAATCGAAATATATTGGTAAAAAGAGAAAAATAACTTGTTTTTATGACTAACATGTTTTAGGTTGCCTTAATTTCAAACTGGCCGGCTCCTTGTTCATATTCACCTCGAGCATGCTTAACTCAAAGCAACTGTTCATACAGCTATGTGATATTCATATGTCGGATCCTATCTTCTCGATCGATGTGTAATGCTAATCACGTAGGTACTTGAGGAGATCGGACACGGCTCCTTCCATACATTACAAAATTCGTTACAAAACCACAAAAAACCCACATATCACATACATTTCATATATCTTATTGAATTAGATATGTTAATATATCATTTCAATAGTTCTATCCAGGGCTAAAGCAAATTTTAACGACCTTCCGATTATTGTTTTATGCAGATAGAGTGAATTATAAACTCGTTCAGTTGCAGATTAAACCACAATGCATTTTAACACTTGCTTTCTGGCGTCATAAATAACTTTACAGCCATAAAACAGCAGCTGCCTAAATTCCAGGCCAAATCCAACAAGTTGCCAACAGCAACAAGTGGTATGAAGTGTTTTGGGCACAGAAACAAAATTCAAAGTATGCTCAACTTTGTGGTTATATCATTTACATGCCAGATTATGTGAGAAAATAGGCAAAAAAAAAAAACAATAACAACAAAAGCAGACAAGAGCAACTGCTCGCAAAAGTTTGGCAAAAGTTTGGGATGTGAAAACAGATTCTTGTCTCTGTTGTCGGTTAGGCAAGTTTTGCGGGGACTCAACTGCAGCTTAAAACTTTTTGGCAACAGTTTATGAGCGCAACACCCCCCTCCCTCTACAGAGGACACGCCTTTGCTGAGCTTGCAACTTGATGGTGAGTAATTTAATTACGAGAACGAGACGAGCTTCATTCCATCATCAGCTGACGGCTGTTGTTGCTGGCATATTTTATGGCAAATTAACTATGGAAAGGCGTTGCAGTGGAAAGTGTTAAGCGTTGCATGAGGCATGTTTGAGTCCTGTTAAATGAGTGCGAGTTAAAAGTAAAACAAAATAGCCAGCGGGGCGTATACGCAATAAAGCTAATTTGACTTTTATTACAACTCTTGCCAACTGTTTAATCGAATCAAATGCAAAGAGATATTCTTTGCTGGCCCATAAGTTGAGATTAGATTCAGACTCATGACGAAAGCGCAAGGAATTTCTATGGCTTTTCAAATAAATTTTAATGCCACAATTATTGTCGCACTAATTTGCAATCGGCAGGCAAAGACAATGGCTGAGCAAACAAGAGTCTAGCTATTAAAACTTAGATCTCACACACGTACACACACGCACACACACACACGCACACACATCATGATTATTAACAATGCACTCCGACTGACATGAACAATGTTGCAAATCGGTTTGCAAATCAGGCAGCAACGAACAGGCAACCAGTCAACGACATGGCAGTCAGTAAAAATTGCGTAAAATACAAATATTGTGCAAAGGTTTTGTGTGATTTTTTTTCTCCTTTTTTTCTTTTTTTGTGCCAGGATGCGCTGCGTACGGAAGCTGGGGGTGGCGGCCGGATAAAGGCAGTGGGACGGCAGCAGTCCATCAAAACGATTTGAATGCGTCGTTGACGTTGATGAGTTTGAGTGAAAAGCGGATCGTGAAGCAGTCAGTAGGCAGCAGGGAGGTGGCAGGAGGCACGATGCAGTAACAACAACGAGCCAAGTTCGTCAATCAAAAGCCAAACCAAAATCTCCTCATGCGTGGCACAGAGCAGTGGCAAAGCCAAAGGCTGATGAGGCTGCCATTGCTGATGCCGACGATGATGCGTTCTGCTGTTTGTTTTGTTTTAATTTTCTCGATTTTTTTTTCTATTTTTCTTCTTTTTTTTTGCATGCCTTTTCCCTTTTACGTTTTTTTTTTTTTTGCGTTATTTGAAAAACTCTTCAGTTTTGAATTGTTGCCATGTTTTTATTGTTGTTGAGTTTGGTTTAGTTTGTGCGTGGCGGGCATATATGGTTCCGCAGCTCTCTAAGCGGCAGTCAGTGTATCCGTATCCGTTGTGCCTTACACTGTTTGCACACTCGGAACGGGAACGCGTTTGACATTTCATCAGGCGGGCGACGGCGATTGTCTGAAATTGCGACCGCTGCAGCAGCTAAGGATTTGATTTGATGTGCGTCCGTCAAAAGAGAGTGCGAGGAAGAGAGCTCTGTAGGCGGGCATCACCACCAGCAACAATGCACTGAAAATTGCATTGTTAGCAAAACACTACAATCTGGCCAAAGTGCCCGATATGTGAGCGCCCACACACACATACACACACACACACACACATGCCTAATACACACCCACACACTCGCACCCACGCATTTTGATGGCAGACTCACGCATGCACTTGACAAGTCAACCAGCCAGGCAGGATGCCATCCCTGCATTCGGCCTGCCAGCATTTACTTCCGTTTTTAATTAAAAATAAAAAATAAAAACCCAAACAAACCAAACAATAACCTACCGCAGCCAGCGAAAAATATGCGAATAAAAAAACAGAGAGATTCACAATTATTTGCGTATAAAATAAAAAAAAAAATGCATGTTCGTATGATGCAAAAAAAATGCAAACCACACAAATACATTTACTACATCAACAGCCAGCGAGGGTCGTCCTGCACTCACATGCGCTTATTTGCATGCGTATCCTGCAGATACGCACTTTCGACCTTAGGCGGTTGGGGGGCGAGCCGGGGCGTGGCAGACGCTGGACACGAGAGTGACAGAGTCGTGCAGATTGGGAGTGAGACAGCAGCAGCTCTTAATTTGCCTGCAGATGCAGCAAACTAATGAAAATTACGCAATTTGAAAAATGAAAAAATAAAAAATGTTGAGCCTGGAAAATGCTGCTAAACGGGGTGGTATAGAATAAACGGCAATGGCATGTTGTTTGCTTAGATATGCCGCTAAAAAACACTTAATTATAAAGAAAATAAATCTATTTAAGGAAAACGATTCAACACTGGAGAGATTCTACTAAAGGAGATATACAGGAATTAAAGCTTTTTTAGATTATATTAGTTTTAAATAGAGAGTAGAGACCTTCTGTGCATATTCTTCAATAAATGAGTTCAAGAAATTCTTCTACATGCATCAAGTTTTAGCTCAGTGCAAATATGCCCAGTTCTGTTAAAGTAAGCCAGCGTAAAAAATTTTCCATCTACTATACTTTTTCACTCTCACTTTAATCACAAATATTGCCCGCTGGCCACAATATACATATGAACAACTATAAACAGCCAAGCCTTTGAATTAAATTAGACTGACAATTTTGCAGACATTTTATTTATTTTTCCACATTTTTTACTATTTTTTCATTTTTTTTTTTATTATTTGTGTTTGTTTTAGCAAAGCGTAAACCACAAACGTAGTAGACTAATTTAAATAGGCTTAAGGTTTAGCTAATGGTATGTCTAATTAGGTGCGGGAACAAGGATCCCAGGCCAAAGCATTCAGCCGCATTTGCCAGCTTTGGGAGCCTATTAAAAATGCGCTCATTGGTAATGAACAAAATAACAGCAGCCGCAGGAACATCTGCTGCATCCAGCAGCCAATGATGCCTCATTAAAATGCACTTAATTAAAATGCAATGGTAAAATCAACAGCAAACGCAATTGCAACTGCAACTGCTGCAGCGACTGCAATGCCAATGCAACGGCGACGCTTGTCCGCTGAGAGATCGCGTATATGACTAAATCCAGTTTGGGTTTCGATAGAAAAACAACAACACGAGGACAAACAACAACGAAAAATTACAAGACAAGCCAAAGAACAAGCAAAACGAACAACACCACGAATGAAGAGTGTTGCAGCTGATGAATATGGAACTTGGCTTTGACTTTGTAACTATTTCAGTGCGTACATCCCTCCGTCCCACCATGCATCCAACCACCGCCTGCTTGGCAGCCTCCGCCAGCAGCACAGAAATTTCTGCACGAATCTGCCACAGCGCTAGCCAGCGGCCGAGGCCGAGGCTAGCAAAAAATGTCATAAATAAATTGCTTAGCAACATTTGCTGACGCGCCAAATAAAATCCCATAAATGATCGAATGCGATTTTTAGTCTATGCAACAGCGGCAACGCGTCGCGACGGTGGCGGCGACTTAAACCAAAGTGGAAAACGTGGAAAAACTAAACGAAAACATAACGAGATTTTAATGCTCTTTAATTGGGCATTAACTACTAAATGATTGTCTGGGAAATAAAACGTATACAAAACTTAACGATATTGAGCAAAAGCTATTCCTATTAATATATTATTATTATAATTATTATTAATATTATTTTTAAAATAATTATTACTATATTTATTATACATAATTAATTACTATAAATAATTTATTTACCATAGAGTATTATGACTGCGTGATAGAGCCCGCCCGATGCTATGCTACTTTTTCTCGTGTACCCAGCTACTTGATGCTACTTTTTTAAGAATTTCAAATGTTTTTCCTGGTAAATTAACTAAAAATGCTGAAAACGCTTCGCAGTCGCTGCCGCAGTCAGAGCAACCGACGCAGCGTGGTTTTTGTGTGGTTGTCTCTGTGAATGTGGACAACGACAAACCACAAAGCTGAAGACGAATAGTCCAGAGAGAACATCTCCAACGACTGGCGTTGATCTCGTCCGCTGATGGACGAAAAAAAGCAGCCAAACGCTCAAACGAAAGCAGCTAGCAATTTCCTATTTTACCAAAGTGGTTGCATCGTTGTCTTCGTCATTAATGTGGCTTTTAAATGCGTTTTTCATGGCGAGACGCAGTCGCAACGCCGGGGCAAGGTCCACAACTGCAACGGCTACTATGCGACAGCGACTGCGACTGCGCCTGCGACGACGCCAAGTGTGCGCCTTAATTATGTGCGGGTCTTGAGAGTATTGGCTGATTTTGTAATTAGGTTTTCATTAGAACTTACGCACAACTATGGACACAGACTTCCTTTTTTTTCGTATATACATGCATACATATATATTTGTGTATTTTTTTTTTGTTGTTTCGAATTCCTTCCATGCGCTGCTGCCAGCCAGAGCTGTCGGGTTCAATAATTTGTTGTGGGTCAACTGCCCAAATGACGTGGCCACTGCTGCAGATGCTGATTGAGTTATATATACATGTGTAAACAAACAGTAGCCAAATGGCTGCAACTGTATTAAAAAAAAAAAAGTTGTAAGAAAAAAACCAAACAAGCAACAACAACAAGTGCGGCACGTTGAAGCCGCAAGGCAAACGACTTAGGCTAACACTAACAACATAACACGAGCCACACGAGCCACCGTCAGACCCACAATCAAAGTGAAAGATACGGCTAAAGAGCCAGCGTTTGCGTTTGTCTTAAGCACGAGGATCAGCCAGTCAGCCGGTTAGGCAGTTAGGCGATGAGGCAGCCAGCCAGCCAGGCAACCAGCCTGCCTGGCAGCCAGGTCTTCGAGACCCATGTAAGGCACTTTCTTTGGCTCGTTGCCGTGGATTATGCAGACTGAGACGGGGGCACGGCGGCTGTGTGGCAGTGTTCACGTCTCGGCTGCATTTTGATTTATCCACGCGCTGCCGGCGCTGCCTACTCGTGATTAGCGTGGCGTTGCGGAAGGTGTGTCCCAAACTGGCAACTTGGCAACTGAAGTAGCCAAATGCGCGCACAGCTACCGACACACAATGGGCTGGGCTGGGCAGGCAAGACAGCAAGGACGGTGAACAGGGATGAATCTGGGCATGAATGGAGCTAGCCATGGCGGAAAAAGGCGCTGTACAGCGATTACATCAATGAAATTGAATGGAATGTGTGCCAGCATCAAATGTGCATTCAATGGACCAGGCTAGCGGCTAATTAGAGTAGACCACACACGCGCACACACACATGCACGCGCACGCTCACACACACTTTTACTCAGCCAAATGAGCACAGTACAGATTTCGGCCCTTGGCTAAAACTTGTAGCACACGGCTCATGATGAAGGCAACAACAACAGCAGCAAAAACTATACGCTGAGCATAGCCTTGAAGGCGGCCAATGCACTAAGAGTCGATGAATGCTCATCAACAAGAACAGCTAGGGTATATTAGCTAAATAAATAATTAAGGCATAAGTAAATGTTTAAGATAATCATTTTTCGACCAAGCCACTTTATTAGCCACTGTTTGAACCAATGCCACATCACACGAAAGTGAAAACCAGATTCATGAAACGCGCCTTAAGGTAGCAGATTGGCTTACTCCATAAACCAAAACATCTACTTTTTTTCTTTAATTTAATGCATGGCAGATCTGCCATTTGTGTACATTACTTTAAAGCGCAAATAACTAAATAAATAATAAATAATAACAATAATAAGATGAAAGTTGAAAAGGTTAACAAAATCCACATCTAATGCTCTGGAGCCAGCAAAGGAAGAGCAGTAACAGGAAAATATGTATAGAAAATTGGCTTTTAATTTAACTAGCTAACAGGGTATTAACTAGTCGCAAGCAGTTATTAGGCAGCTATTGGATAGCATTTTATAAAACGTTGTTTGCTTTTTTTCGAATGTTCTATAAAATGCAAAAATTATGAAAATTTCTTAAGCTGTTGTTGTGCATTGTGTGTGCGTGTGTGTATGTGTGTCTCTCTCGCTTTGGTGCATTTTTTCGTAACTGGTTTTTAGTATTTAGCTATTTTTGGCGTATTTCGTTTTGATTCCTGTTCTGTGGGACGCGTCAATGAACCCCCTACACAGCCAACTTGACTCGATGCGAAAGTCGCGATAAAGTTGTTGCTGGCACATGTCTATGAATTCTAATTGTTCGTATGGCCAACAAGCGAAGGCTAAAATATGTAAATTTTTCGTTGTGTCTAACACTCAAAGGCGGCTGAGCATAAAAGCCAATCAAATTGCTGACATTTCCTGAGTGTCAATCAGTTTAGTATTTTTTTTTTTTTTTTTTCGCAATCGCAATGCGAAAATTTTTTGACCAACTCGCGCGGTCGCCTTGTGGGCAGGTTCAATGTCTTGGGCAGTCCAACCGCAAATCTGACAGCAATCAAAGCGAGCAGGCGAGCCCCATCTGCAGTCGTTGGTGGTGGTAACTGTAGGGGTAATGATGATGAACATGAAGATGAAGAGCAGCGCTGGCTGGGCAACTTTTTGTTGCAGCTCGCATTACAAACAGCAACAACATATTGCAATCGATTCGCAAACACTGACCACAGTCAAGATGTGGCTGCTGCTGCTGCTGCTGCGACTGCTGCTACCAGGGGGCAATCAAAAAATGTGTGGCAAAATCAGCGCTGAAATACTCTTTTAATGAACCTCTTCCTTTCGGGCAGCAGCAGCAGCAGCAGCAGAGGTAGCAGCTCAGCAATTTGGCGACACAAAATCAAAGTCATTGCATCTCTGGGCAGCAATGAAATGCATTTTATAATTGCACACGCACTTTTTGCACTTTGACAAAATTAGAAGCAGCAAAAGCAGCAGCAGCAACAGCAGTTGAAGTTGCAGCCCCAATTGCAGCCAGAAAAAGACGCAACTGAGCGAACATTAATGCTCAAATCGCTTCATGTTGCCATGTCAGCGCGCACATGGAGCTGGAGTTGCAACTGCAGCTGGAGCAGGCGACCGCCATGCCAAGTTAATGACATTGCAGGCACAAGCATGGATACAAAAAAAAAAAAAAAAAAGAAGATAAATAAATAAATAAATAAAGCCAGCGACAACTTTGGCCAAAGAGCAGCAATGCAGCGGCGGCGTTGATGAACAAAAACTGGACATTTTGATTTTAGAAAAATATATAGAAAACCACTTTTTTTTTGTGCATTGCCTCACTCCGGTTGCCACTGTCGACTGGCATGGCCATCAACGTCTAAGCGGCAGCTGCTGCCGCCTGTTGCATGCGGCCACTTGGCCAACAAATGGCAACATATTTTAAAAGTTGGCTAAAATATGTGCAGCAGCCGGGCTGCCTTTTGTCAGTATGCCAGCGTTTTTTCTATTTCGTTCATCTTCTCTCTTTTTTTTTTTTTGCTCTGTTTAAAAGGTAGCCAAAATTTATTGGAGGCAGCTAGAGCCCATGTAGGGACAAAGCTGTTAAGAAAAACAAAAAAAAAAGGGGGTTACAAGTCTTAGACCGATGTCAAGCACTCGAGCTAATGAGGCTGTTAGGCTGTTGTCCGGGCAGCGAAATATAAGTGTCTTGACAGACAGCGTGTGTTAAAGTGCCGCAGTAAGTGAATAATGGAGATTATCCTTTGGAACAACGAATCTAGAAGTAACAATGGCCGCGTCAGTATGTGCTCCGCTTTTTGCAACTTATGATTTATAATACTTATGATTTTTACACCCTTCCAGCGGGTATTATGATTTTTCCATGAAATGCGTGAAGCACAGAAAGAGACTTTTCCGAACCCATAAAGTTATATATTCTAGATCGGCATCAACAGCCGAGATGATATAGCCATATCCGTCTGTCCATCTGCCTGCTTCTATGCGAACTGCTCTTAGGAAGCAGCCTGTATATATACACTTATGTCGGAACCGGCCGGATCGGACTACTTTATTATATACTTAGCTGCAAAAGAAAGGATCGGTCCAAAAGTCGGATCTCGTATAAAAAATGTTTTTATTT